ATATAAATAAAGTTTTACTTACTTTTACTTACTTACATCTGTTTTGAGGGCCACATCACTAAATGCCTGAGATGTAAATGCACAGAGGACGGCTGGAGGAGGAGAGATGGATTAGAGAAGAGAAAGCGAGCTGCAGAGCACTCAGAGCCTCTGCAGCAACATTAATATTGTACTATGGCCTCGGAGCCATGAAAAGCTACTTTGGCAAGCTCGCGCACATCAAAGAGGAGATGGAAAGAAAACCTCAGCATGCTGCATAGACCTGAGTCAATGCTGTGACTCAGGTTTGAAACTAAAATTTAAATTGTTTATCTACAAAGCACTGACCATTCTTCAGCAACAGGAAACGTATTCAAACCAGACATAGTTCATTTTGGTTCATTAGACATCCTCATAAGGTGAGTTACTTTTAAAAGAAATGCTTCTTAATGTGAACTTTTAACAACAATTCTTAAAGTCTTTCAAAGCAAAAAATAAGCCTGGCTGCAGGCTGTAAAAAAACAAACAAAAAAGGCGCTACACACAGACTGTAAGTAAACGATGGACATAGCCACTGTGCCTTCAGCCAATTGTTAGCAAAGTCCTGTTGTGAAGCTTTGAACCGAGTGTTTTAACCATCGCCGTCCAGGTGCTTTGAAACGGTGTGGTGGGTGAGGTGCAGACATGACTGCGAAACCTTGTCAGTCACAAGGTAAGCCCACCCTAAAGCAGTGTTAAATTAACTGACCAATTTGTCTGTGAAGGTTCTCAGTCATCCAGGTCATCGTAGTCAAAGGAGCTTGGAAAGAAAAGCGTCTGGACGTCTGGAAGTCCAGACGCTTTTCTTTCCAAGCTCCTTTGACTAACTGACCAATTATTTTTTTCTCTCAACAACCGTTTTTTTCCTGACAAAAACGAGACGATAATTTAGTAAAAAACAAACAAAACAAAACTAACCCACAAGGACAAAAACTACAAACTATTAAACGTATCCATATTTTTGTCAGTGAATAAAAACTAGATAAAAACGTTCTGGAGAGACGAGATCAGAACTTAGTTGTGTAGAAAGGCGGGAAGAGTTTGGAAGTGATCCAATCACAAGTAATCTTGTGCAGCAAGGTCAGATGTGCACACTTGAACTGCCTCCAGGATACAGTACAACTAGCTCCCGTGCTCCCTTTATCTCATGAAAATTCGACAAAATGTCAAAGGTTGGGAGGAAAAGAGGAGAAAACGACACATGGATACATTTCACATTTGACGTCAAGGAAAAGACACTTCTGACCCTAACCGATGCCCGCCCCTCCCTGAGCCTGGTTCTGCTGGAGGTTTCTTCCTGTTAAAAGGGAGTTTTTCCTTCCCACTGTTGCCAAAGTGCTTGCTCACAGGGGTCATATGATTGTTTTTCTCTGTAT